TAAAAATGTGAGTAACAATCCATATAATTTTTGAATTACAATTGAAATTTGTGTTTCTTGGTTTTTTTCTCAAATGTATATCGAATTTTCGGATGGATCAAGATATTCTGCACAATTATTAGGTTGAACCGAAAGTTCTTTCCCCCCATATTTAAAAATTCATAACTTCCGATTTTTTCAACCAATTTGGCTGCATTTATTTTTGTATGAAAGAGTAACTCATGCTCTTCATAATGACATCTTAGCTGCTCGCTAGTGACCATCTATTGCATAGATAGGAGCGATAGAAGAAAATTAGTCAAAATTTGAATTTTCTGTGTAGGGTCATAAAAAATCGGAAACTTGCAAGAAAAATCGGAGCAGTTAGTATTGTAGGTTCTTTTACCAGCTGTTTCTAATGGGGCAAAGTTTGCGTCGATTGAGCGTTTCTATCAAAAGTTATGATTTCCCTGAAAAATGCCAAAATAAATCAAATTCGCTATTTTGTATTGCTTGCTCGAAAATCATAACTTTTAATAGAGACGCTCAATCGGCACAAATTTTGCACAGTTAGAAAGAGCTGGTGAAAGAACCTACAATACCGACTGCTCCGATTTTTGTTGCAAGTTTCCGATTTTTTATGACCCTACACAGAAAATTCGATTTTTGACTAATTTTCTTCTATCGTTCCTATCTATGCAACAGATGGTCATTAGCAAGCAGCTAAGATGTCATTTTGAAGAGCATGAGTTACTCTTTAATACAAAAAAAATTCAGCCAAATTGGTTGAAAAAATCGGAAGTTATGATTTTTTGAAAATGGGAGGAAAGAACTTTTGGTTCAACCTAATATATCAGAAACAAAATTAGATTACTTCTGGTTTTTTTTGCAAACTATGTGGAGCAATCGGAGTGTTCAAATTTGTGCAAAATAAAGCTTTCCTCTAAAAACAAGTAAGCCAAGTACTTATCGTTAGCCTACGGAAGGCATCCGATTTCTGGGCAATTTTCTTGATTGAGCCAATTTTATCCCTGAAATCTTTGTATTTCTTCCTTCTCAGAGACCTTAGAAGAACAGCAAAAAGTATGTATCAGGATTCACGTACATATGCGTAAGCGCCACCAAAAAAGGAGAAAAGAAGCAAATTAAGTGTTTTATTTTGAGCATGATTTTGGCTAGCTCCAAAATCTTAGGTCGTTTCGAAAGTTCTTTCCTTTGTTCATCATATCATAAAAACACGTGGAACAAAGAAAGAGAAATCTTCAGACAATGTCCGACGCAACTTTTCTTTCTCTTTTCAACTATCATATTCCTGTGCAGCTCGCTCTTGTGGTCAGTGAGATGATGGCCGAAATTTTGGACCTATTGTTTTTACCATGTCCAACTTTGGCAATTTTTCACTATCTTCTTTTTTGACGTTTGGGAAAGCTTTGATAGCAATCGGATAGAGTAAACAAAGCGCAATGCAATGCAATTTTTTGGCATTTTCAGCTGGCTTCTCATTATTTTTTGAGATAACTTTTTCAGAAGTCATATTTTTTCTGAGTCACAAAACACACAAACGCTCTGAACATCAACAAATCTTCGGTTTTCTAAACTTTCAAAAGTCGTTTATGATTGTATACTATTTTTACAAAGTAACTAAGCGTACCGCTTCGAAATATAAGATTTCGCACTTTACGGGCACAGCATGAGGCGGGTTCAAAATCAAGATTTATGGAAATTTTATCGCCAAATACCTCACAAACTAAGAAGAAAAAACATTCATCAGAAAGACGAGAAAAAGCTGCATCGAATGACACCTTAGTTGTGCGCCGTTTTATGTTCTATGGTGCATGATATTGCATTTTGTTTACTCTATCCGATTATTATCGAAGCTTTTCCGAAAGTCAAAAAAGAAGATAGTGAAAAATTGCCAAAGTTGGACATGGTAAAACCATGGGTCCGAAATTTCGGCCATTATCTCACTGACCACAAGAGCGAGCGGCACAAGATAGTTGAAAAGAGGAAGAAAAGTTGCGTCGACACTGCCTGAAGCGTTTCCCTTTCTTCGTTCCACGTGTTTTTATGATATATTGAAAAACGGAAAGAACTTTCGGAACGACCTAATATTTCCGATTATTTTAATCTAGTTTATTATTCGAAAACAAATCTAAATTCAAATAGTTACAATGTGTTTAAATTTTGATTTAGTATTGTATTTTTTATTGAATTTTTTGTAATTCTTTCATCATAGCACTGTATCAAACCGATTGCAATGGCAAGCTCCCTTCAAATATTTTTATCATCCTGTTATTTGTAATTATTTTTGCTACAACTAAAGATAGTCGAATTTTTTCATCTGCTTATAATCGTTTAAAATTATGGTTTTTGTGATCTCTGATTAATTGGAATCGCGCGAGTTTCCTCAAAGCTTCCTTCCTTTCGATGAAGTTTTTTTACTCTTTGTACTTAATCCTTTTTTTATTAATCAAGCAATTTTTCAATTTTTAATTTTCATGTAATGAAGTGCTATAAGAAAAGATTCGAGCCAATTTACCTCTACGAATGCAGCACTTAGAAGTTTATTTTCGACTTCATCAAAGCGCTAGATGTAAACAAATATAATCTTTTTTTCAATCTTTGGAAGACGTTTTTTTGGTTGTCGTAAAGATGTGCCCTTTCTTTGACATTTTAGTGTCTCTAATCTTGATGAACCAGTTTAAGGAAAAATCAGGGCCCGACACGACGTAGCCAGTTGAATATGCAAAAAACGAAGTCCACCTTGATTTTTGCGAATTTTTACGAAGTCCCCTTTGACCCTAGACCATAATCCCTAGAAAATATCCAAAAAACGAAATGTGGACCAAAAAACGTCGCAAATTTTGTGTCTTTTCGGCCACAAAAACGAAACCCCCTTTGATTTTTATCTCAAAAACGATATCCAGCTTGCTTATAAGCCACATGTGCTGAGCCCTGACAAAAATATGGGTCCACTATAAAATTTTAATGCACTAACAATAAGAACTTAAAGACAAACAGGGTATTCAAATGCAATAGTTGTAATAGCAAGATCACAAAAAATTTCAATCGATAAGCAAATACGCTACCATTTATCTCACAAGAAAACGATATCATCAATTCATTTTCAAAGTTGGGACAATTTTTCATCGTCAATGTCCTGTAACAAGTGCTACGTGTTTTGTTTTTTATGTATTTTTTCTAATCTATGTATGACTGGGGGATTTCAGATTAGCTAGGCTAAATGCAGAATTATTCGCCAAATCATTCAGTAGTACATGCACAATTTTTTATATCCAACTACTTTTCATGAGTGCAATTTCTTCCTGAATGATTTGACATGACGAAATCATAAGCTCAGCGTACTTAGCTGATTGAATCTCCAACTTAGTGGAAATAGGATGTTCAAGCAATTGCCTTATAAAAAATAGCGCTAAAACTAAAATGTTCGTTTTTCGCATGGGTGTTCTTTGCTCAGCTCGTCAATATGTAGTAGTCACGTGCTGCTGAGTTTTTTTAGTGACATTGTTACACTAGAAGAAGAGATTGAAAATAGATGGTAGTAAGGAGGCTAGAAAAGGTCAAGCACACTTGAACTCTCAATTTAACTCTTGCCAACACCTTTTTGCTATTGCTAAATATAATGGAATATATCACTTAAATTATATGTATATATGAACGATGCGATAAGCACTTTTACGAACAAGAGATCGAAATTTTTAAGTGAAATAATTAGGTGCACTTTAAGTAGGAACATATAATTAAAGTAATATATTCCAAAATATTTATCATCCAGCAAGGAACAATGTGATCCAAGCACGAGTAATTTTTTTTTGTTTTCTTTTGGGTTCTATTTTTGGCACACTTTGTGTATTATAAATAAATAAATCAATAAATATTTCAAGACAGTACAATCAAGAACGGAATGCCTTTTCAACAATAACTTCTTCACTAATTCAAAAGTTACACATTTTCGTATAAAAAGTACTTATTTCTAAGGACTCAAAACAATCAATTTTCGAAGCTTCCTTTTTATTTGAGTTTGAAAAATTCTGTAAAATTTTTTACTTCGTCTGTGGGCAAAACGAAATGGAGTTGGTAATTTTATTAGTTGAATTTTGTTAAAATTATCGATGGTATAAGACAAGTTATTAAAAATTGTTTTTGTGGCTTTTCTATTAGATATTAATAGAACGAACTCAACTCCATCAAATAGATGCGGGGGAGATCATGTGATGAAATTTTCTTCACTATATTGAATTTCAATGTAGTTTCCTTCACATGAAAAGTTCAGAATGAAATTTCATCTGTTCAAGTTTACAAATAAAATAACATCGGAAGAAGAGACAGTGAGAAACGATCTCTTGAAATTTATAGCCCGTGGCATCATTAGTCTCGTCTGAAAGCTGCTATGACGTCACTACAAACATGATGAGAAATTTCCTTTCTTGGAAAAAACATCTCACTGCATAGAGTTTAAGCACTATAACTAGACTTTGATTTCTTAGTATTAGAAAGAATACATTCTATTTTCTAACTTGTTTACCTTTTTTTCAAAAAAATTCAAGTATTTTATCTACTTCGTTATTCTGCCCTATCGTAGATTTTTTGAAGCATTGTTAGAGAAGAGGAAGCGGGTTAGCAGCAAATTCGCTAATATTTCATAGAACAACAGTTATATCTTCTATTTCAGCGAGCCAAATGTCTTCTTTACTGGTTTTAAAATGCGCCACAGTTCAAAAAGTCAAATAACATAACCACGAATTAGTATAGCTGAGTTGGTAATTAAATGCATATGAGCTGTAAAATTCCATGGAATGGAAGCACATGAGCCAGATGGTACTTTAAATATTGACATTATGACTTTCTGAACCTTGAAAAAAACGTACCTTAGAAAATTTCCTTAGCATTTTCTCAACAAAAAAACCACTTATCCTTGTAGTGAAAATGTAATTTCACCTTCGTTAACCATCGTGATCTATCATTTTCGCAACATTGACATCAACCATCAATTTCCAGAACTAAAAGTCTGCTCTCTGATAGTGGGCGTGGCTTAGAGTTCACAAAAAACTCTCGTCAGCAGCAGCGAAGCGCATCGGCTGTTGTGTAGCAATGTGGTCAGTAGTTCGACTTCGTTCGAAACGATCACATCCTATGACGAAGAAGACGGCGACGACACAAAACGATCGACAACGAAATCTTGAAAGGTACGATATTGTTACGGTAGCTTTACGGTAATACCATTGGTGTTATAAACCAGCTCTACATGCTCCGATTTGTTACATTGTCAGTTCTCTCGCTGTCGTTCTATGTAATTTTGTTGAAACAGGGTTTTTTGATATTTTTCGGTCATACCAAATCAAGTTTTCGTGTTTCATTTCTGGTTTATTAGGTTATTTTAGTATCAGGGCTCGGCACGAGGTGGCTAGATGAAAATGGAAAAAACGAAGTCCCCCTTGACTTTTGGGAGGTTTTAAGAAGTCCCCTTTGACCCTCAACCAAATTTCCTCTAAAAACCTGAAAAATTCCCCAAAATCCCCCAAAAAACGAAACGTCGACCAAAAAACGTCGTCAAGTCGCCAATTTTGCGTCCTCTTCGGTCACAAAAACGAAACCCCCTTTGCTTTTCGTCCAAAAACGATATCCAGCTTGCTGTAAGCCATTTCGTACCGAGCCCTGTTTTAGTATTTTATTTATAAGCGGTGAAAAAATTGCAATACTTTTTACTTCAGTGTTTTGCATTATTTTATTATGCAATAATATTGATTTTTCTAACTAATATTGCTTAGATTTGTATTTATTATTGATATTTATTTATTTATGTTTATTATTTATAAGTTTGTTAAATCTGTTCAATATATTTTATTCTATTTCAATTCAATTATTTATTCTATTATTTTTCCTTATATTTTCTAACTGATATCGCTTAGATTTCTATTTATTCATTGATATTTATTTACTTATGTTTATTATTTATATTTATGTTTATTAAGACTTCAATATATTTTAATCTATTTAAATTTGATTATTCATTTTGTTTTCTGATAGATTCTCAAGTAGAAAAGATTTTATGATTTGTAAAAATTGTTGTTTCACACAATCAATATTTTAACTATTGCAAAGTACAAGTCTTCTCAGCATAGTAAATAAAAATCGATATTGTTACAACCGCATACTTGAATTTTCGAGCTCCAGCTTTCCAAAGTTAAAAGTGTCTGCTTTTTCCCCCTAATTTGAGCCATCCGCCGGATCGCTTAGTATTCAGCGCTCGTAAACTGTTTTCTTTACCCCCTCCATTATCTCATAAATTATTCTCGGCATTCTCAATCATTGCTGAAGCGCTGTACATCAGTAGTACTACTTCTCGGATAAGCGGGAAAATTCCTTGCTTTTGGGCTACTGAGATCGAAAATGATAAAATCTATGAAAATTTTGAAAATTTCTATTTTTTTTTCTGTGACTACCACTTTGATACTAGAAATTTCTTGAAATGAGAATTAAGTAAATAATATAAACATAGAATCCGCTAAATGATAACGGGACTCTAACGACTTTTTTGTCTGTGAGATTAGAGCTTCAAATATATTCATCAAAAAGATGCAGAAGTAGTTTAAATCTTTTTATTAGGTTGGAAAGAAAAGAATGTCGCTTTTTATTTCCTTGTCATGGCATGGCAACAAGACAAGCCCCAAGGACATTAATTGGGTACCATTCGATAAAACAAAGCAAGCTCTACAAAACGGCATTACTGTTTTTGCATCAAGTTATATCCACTTGAAAATGGAAGATTGAATCTAAAAAGTTTTAAATGACCAAAAAATCAAAAAAAAATCGTACTTCGTTTAAAAAATTTCTACGGACCCCCGCCTTGCCCACGGACCTATATCCTTCATCAAGCATTTATAGCGGAGTTGTTGTAATTTTTCCTTTGCTAGATATTGAAAAACCGAAAATTTTCACAGTTCTGCCAAAGTGGTGCTGGATTGTTCCCGCGTGGTTCTATACACTTGGCTTGGGAAGTACAACGGTAGATTTTCAGCCTTCTACAAGAGTTGGTTCTCAAGTTTAACCTTTTTTTCTTCTGTTCTTCAAATTAAATTAAATTTTTCTCCAGAACTAGCTCTGTAAAAGGCTGAAAATATACGGAAATACTTTGCAAGCCAAGTACCAAAGAATAATCTATGCGGGAGCAGCCCAGCATCACTTTGGCAGAAGTGTGAAAAGTTTCGGTTTTTCAATGTCTAGCCAAGGAAAAATTACTGCAGCCGCGCATATGAATGTTCGATGAAGGATGGTAAGTCTCTGAGCAAGTCGGGAGTCCGTAGAAAATTCTTGGACGGAAATATGAATTTTTTTTTGATTTTTCGGCCATTTGAAATTTTTTAAATTTTATTTTTTAACTTCACGTGGACATAACTTGGTGCAAAAACTGTAATGTCATTTTGTAGAGCTTTCTTTGCTCCATCGAATTATTTCTGATTTATGTCTTTAGGGTCTTATTGCGATGATATGACGAGGAAATAGAAAGCGATATCCTTTTCTTTCCAACCTAATACAATCAGGGGCATAAAATTTCCTAGCTTCTCTTCCCTTGAAGCACCGGTCGGTCACGAAACTTGTTATTGTACTCGCTATTAGCAACTGTCGTGCTCGTTTTATACTTTTTGATGGATTGTAGGTCCCGCAAGATCAATCTCTTTCGTTTGTGTTTACTAGTATTTACGTTCCTGTCAATTTCCGGCACTTCCGCTTTTGATTGTCCGATCATTTTGGTACTTTATCTATGACTGATTACCTTAAACTCTTTTCAAATTTTACGTATGAAATTATCAGGAAAAAAGTGAGATGAATAGTACGGAAGTTTCCTCTAAAGAAAAATGTCAGTCATGTTTAATTACTTTTGTTCAAACCTCGTTTGACTGCTTTAAAAATACTTTTTTCACAAACATCCATTGTCCGATGGTCCGCAAGTACAAATTGACAACTGTAAAATATATTCGATTTTTGCGAGATACATCTAATGGAAGAATTCAAAATAATTAAAAAATGAGCGATGTCTAATTTTAATGTAGTAGACTGGACTAGATCTGAATGACTTTACAGTATGGTTCAACTCTGTTTTTTTTCTTTTCTCCTTTTTTTTTATTCGCTATCTTTTCATACACTTTGCCGTGATCTGGTTCTATTGTATTGAAGCACGCTTTCTGGCGTACAAGATAAATAAATAAACAAATAAATATGATAAATAAATAAATAAGTAAATAAATAAATAAATAAATAAATAAATAAATATCGAAACACCCCATATACGCAAAACTTTCTCACAAAATACTGAAGGAAGCTAGAGGACCTTCAATAGAAAGTGAAAACATAGTAATGAACCATTAGAGAGCATGAGAAAATTGCAAAATTTGAAACATCATTACTTTCATGTAAGTAAATATTGATATCTTTACAAAACTGTACCTGCAACAGAGTTGAACACCCAATCAGCAACAATTTCTTAATCATCTGTATAAGGACAAGCTTCAGTGTTCTATAGTCATAGCTCTTCTCTACCCATTAATTTTTTAGCATATAATTTGTCGTAATAACACCTTGATAATCATAAGTCTCGATTTTTCAAAACTTTCTTGCTTTAGAAAAAAGTATGCTAGGTTACTTTGCTTACGAACCGATATATTATGATTCTTATTTTATTTTGTCAAATAACTCTTTTTTTAACCTTTTGTATTTTATTGGATGTTTACATGTCCATCATATCGATATGATTCTATGCTTCTTTCATTCCAGGCAGTTTGGCCCTTATGAGCCGAACAACAAGCTGCTAAAATCATTGTATTGGGCCCTACGAGGATGCCAGTACTGGCTGTGCTTCTACGATGATGGTGAGCCCTAATAATCCAGATTTATGATTAGTTCTTACTTTTTTAATTATCCGGAACCCCTTTTTTCAAAAAAAATTTTTGTTCATTCTAGAAGTTGAAGTCGATATCGAAGATCTCCTATCGAATCCTTTCAACACTCAACCACCATCATTGGATCGACTACAGCAAATGACCGGTTTCGACAAGAAATGGCTCATGTTCATGTATAGGAATTTCAAACAGGTAAACTCGTCCAAATGTCTCGCCTGTACGAGTTTCACTGTTCGGTTTTTCAGAAATGTTCCAATGGGCGTATGATGGGCTATCAGTGGCGATCGATATTTCGAATGTTATTTCCACATGCAATAGATTATCAGTTCGCAGATCGACTATATCAAGCTATTTCTCAGCTTCGTGGACATCCACATATCACTTTTGAGGTACGCCTTTGCGCAAACTCCGACCCTTTTTTGGAATTGGGCGCGGTTTGACCGGGTGTATGGGCAGTTCAAGTGCATTTTTGTCACAAACCAATCATTTGAATCTTTCTGAAAATTTTTATATCAATTATTTCGCATCATTATTTTATCATAATTATTTTGTTTTGTTTTCGTTTATTATTTTATCGATAATAGACATTATGTCGCTTGTCCGTCTGCTTGGACAACTGTTAGAGTCCGTAACATGTAAGTGCGTCCAGTTTGTGATAGATGTCCGCCCAGGCAAAGCCCATCGGCAGCTGAGCTAATTATTGTAATCGGAATAATTATAAAAAAAATTGAGAAATCACTTTGCTAACAAAAAGGCAGTAGACCGCAACCCACCTTTCCCCCCCCCCTCCCGCAGCATGCTCCAGTATCCTATAAATTCACATAAGATTTTCCCCTCAGGACCTAATAGTATGTATATGGCAACTTACTGAAGGAGGCGCTATCGCTTGTCAAAGCAATCAAGATCATGAGCCGGATATCTCTGTCAAGGCAGCTTTTGTATTCGCTATGATGTCACCTGATGCAAAAGTAAGCTATGATTTATCGATTTTATTGATTGGTATATCTCAACTTTGCACAATTAAGGGACGAGTAGATATGTCGACATTTCAAAAATATGTAAATAGTATATTTACACTCTATGGGAACAGAGAAGATACAGATAATTCGTCAACGCTAGGATTACCCACATCATTTCCTTATAGACGGAATGTAAGTCAAAAGCTATTTTATTGATTTATTGATCGATCACGTCGGTTTACCAATATCCGTTTCGCTTTAGACTATGGCTTCTGAGCCTCGACCAGTGAGTCGCAACGTCAAGCGGCTTGCTGTGGAAAGATTCAGGGTAATAAGAATTGTCACAAAAATCGATATATTGATTTTTTTATTCAACTTTTTAGGCACTGGATACCGATCGCGATGGGTACATTACTGTACTAGACCTAGAGCGGGAATTCAAAAATAATCGCAGCTTTACGATGCTCAGCACTCGCGATGTTGACGAAACTGCAGCGAGATCTGAAGAAACCGGATCTGGAGAAACCAATGGATCACAGGAGCAAAGTCAATAACAAGGGCTTCGATCGATACATATCTTTTGTATTTATGATAACAACTGATCTCCTCAATTGTTGTGCTGGTTCTTTCGAGTCTTCTAGAGTTTGGTGCCAATTTTTCTTCTCGAATATTGTCTGACCTCTTCTTCTATGTGATCTATGAACTAAATGAAATAAAATGTGCTGAAAATGACTGGAAGACGTACAGGGCTCCTAAATTGCAGAGTCGTTTGCACCAGCGGTCGCGCGACCGCGTCGCGCCCGGGCATCAATGGCGCCGCCTCGACCGATGGCGCCGGGGTGGGGGAACGAAAGCCGCCAGGTCCAGGCGCCTTTCGCGGCCAGCTGGTCCTTTCGCAGCGTTGTTGCATGTCGTTCCAGGACCAGCAGTCCGCGGAGGCGGCTGGACCTGGCGGCTTTCGTTCCCCCACCCATGGCGCCGGCGCCGGCAAAATGCCCGGGCGCGACGCGGTCGCGCGGCCGCTGGTGCAAACGACTCTGTTTAGGAGCCCCGTATTCGAAGTTACACTCAAAAAAGGTGAAATATCGCAAATCACAAATATATTTTATACATACTAGTGAACCAATAATTAAAGGTGTTAGATTTGCATCCGCGCACTTCGGGACCGCATCGCGGTTTCCCGCTGACTGATGTCTTTTGAATTGGCGTTACGATTCTTTCGATAGTGGATACAGCTCAGATGCAAAATAATTATTTTCACTTGCTATCAATTATGCTTTTAAGGCCGAATACACAAACTCGCTGAAAAAAACTGTAAAATGGATGAAGTCGTCATTCGCAAGAAATTGCGGATGCCAAGAAAAATCTTTCCTTGAAATTATTTTCTGTTGCACTCGGCTTATAAAGGTTTTGCCTTAGCTGGTTTTGTTGGTAACTTAGTTCCTAACGATTACCACTCCACGCTCCTTTTTGTAAAATTGGTAGACGCCGCTGCCGCTACTCTTCAACATGTATTTAAGCTTTGATTTAACTGGCTTGGCGGCCGAAAGGAAGGGCTTTGTGACCTGATTGAGGCTGCTCGCGCTCGCTACGCAGCCTGCGTCTCTCTCGCGCGTGTGATCTGATCATTATCTAGTCTCAATTAGGTGAAGCCCGCCTTCCAGCCGCCAAGCCGTTTGAATCAAAGGGTACTGACGATGGTACCATATCACTTGAGACTAAACACTAAATTTGCCTTACGGTGCCATTCGTAGGCGTCAGAACCTTCATATCGATGAGTTTCACGATATGAAGATTGCCTGCAATAAAATAGCTAGATGTGCTAGATAAATTTAAGAACATCAGGTCTTCAAATAATATTGTACAGAGAAGTTACATATTCACTTATGCGCAGATGTTTTCCACTGCATGCTCAAAACAATTGTCATAAGCAGTACCAGTATTGATATGATATTATGCTTCTTTTTGATGACAGAACTAGTGCGGACGTAAAGGTCCGGGCATATGTCACGCGATTTCATCGCCTCGCGATTCTCCCAACAAGACAGCTGTACGAGTCCATCGCATGTGCATTATCTTGCATCTCGGTTATGATATATAGTTAGCCGCAATAGGTCGTGTGTGAGAACTATCACAACCGAAATGCAAGATGAAATCGCGGTATGCCTGACCCTTAGAGCACACGCTCCATTCTTATTGCTAAATGGTCACTAAAAGCACAAACTGAGTATTTATAACGTTTCGAAATATGAGTATGAGTTTCAAAATTTCAAAACTTCAGGGAGGTATGTCGGTTAGATGCAAGATACATTATCTGTCAAATTTGGATGTTAGAGGTTAAAGGATAACAAGAAGCAACTAGGACCAACGTTGTAGATATTTATGTCAAATTTCCAGGAAAAGCCGTCAAATACAGCAAGTGTTAACTGAACGGTAGTGGTAACAAAGCACTTTGTCTGTATTTTTTTTTCGAATACTTCCGTAGCACGGAACTGGACTTTTGAGCTGCTGCAAGCGAAGAAATTCCGTCTTTTGCCGTCTTCGTCTGTCTGGGCTCACCTTGAAAACAATTCACTGTTTTGAGTCATAAATTATCCAAACCTCCTGAACCGATACCACAGATCTCATAAATATCAGCTTCCGTCCTTTGGTGCACTCAATTTTCACATTTCCAGGACAAATGAAGTTCATTATATAGGGTGCGAAAGAAGTACTGTCGCTCATTCCCTCCTAAACAATCTCACAAATGGCGAAAATCTATTTTCTGAATCCTACGTGCAGGCGAGACTTTGTAGATTCGATTACAGGTTTTATTTGGAACTGTTTGTCTCTGTTCATTTAAATGAGTGATAAGAATCACTGGCGATGCGCCGCAGCGTTTGGGCGCAATTTTGGACACTAACTGTACCACCAAGAGTGATATCAATTTCAAATTAAGGTATTATGTAGAACATAATCTCCTCTCCAAAATTCTATACTCATTATGGATCAGTGACTTGAAAACCTGACTAAATAAGGAAAATTATATCCCAAGCAATTCCAAAAATTCACGACGAGAGGCTAATCAGATCTGCTCTTGTTTCAATTGGATCCAAACTTATTGAGTCAATAAACGGTTGTGCTTTGTTTCTGTGTCACGTTTTCTGATCGCACCCGTTGCTCCGCATGCGCTTTTTCGTTGGAAATTTCCCAACTTTTCTCCTACTGCAAATGCGGTCTGGTTACTTCCAGCATATTTCGAAGATACTAAAATGTTTTTAAGCAATAGAAGATTTCTCAAATCCAATTTGGAAGCAAAAAAATTTCCAAGAAGATATGGGATGCGCTGCGAAAACAGATCCGCCGCCAAGTGATATTGCATAGTTTTTGAGCCAATTTTTGTAAAATATCAGAATACATTCACATTTTAGGGTTTACGTTAAATTCACCGGAAAAACCAAGGATTACGCCGATTTTTTCGCCTTCATTTTGAGGGATAGTACTTTTTCCGCACCCTGAAGTACATTTATTTCAACAATAGAATACTCTTTGCTCTTTTCGTGTTTTTATATTCGCCCTTTACGTTTATTTATGCGTATACTAGAGAGAAAACTGCACTGTATACATACTTCATTTAAGTTTTTTGCCTTTGCAGTTTTCAACAGTACCATATCTTGGAGTTATTGCTCTGTTTAGCTTTGGAAACCAGTGTGAAGTCTAATTTTTAAAAGCTAGTTAAAGAAGATTTGCATTTCGTAATGGTGCAAAGATAGTGTATCTATTCCAATAACTCCAAAATGCAGTACTTTGTAGTGAGCCTGAGATTAAGCTGAAACATATGAGATTTACATAGTCAGATACCCCCCTCTCCACATCCTCCACATCATGAAATCCATGTTTTGACTTCTTTATTTTAATTTCTTGACTCCAATCACAATACACCAAGAAATCATCATATGTTTGCCGACACTTGCTGACCGTATTGTTGACGGTGATTAACCTCTTCATACCTCATTAAAACGTCAGTGTCGGCATTTCGCCCGTACATACACGGATTGACTTCGATCACTGCGCGGTCATCGCAGCCAATTACCAGCCACCTGCCCTTTGATTGGCCACCGGCATGTCTTTCACGCACGCATAACATTGCGTCATCCATTGGTTCGGTGGCTTTATACGCTTACGTATGCGCTCGTCTGCGTGCGCGCATCGTCGCCTGATAATTACGTTTTCGAGAGCCGCTAAGCGATTTGTGCGCTGACCTTTGACGTACATAATATGTATATGTCAAAGGTGACATTGCATATATGTTGAACGAGTTATTGCGTTCTTTCGTGTTCATGGACGAGTTGTCTCATAAGGGTTGATTTTTAAAGCGTCCAATTTGCCTTTATTGACAACTGAAGCCTAAGGCATACCTCACGCGATTTCAGTCGCTGCGCGATCTGGCACCGCAACGATTCTTCATAATTTGTCGTAAGCGTTCTTTGCTTGGGCCAGATTTATGCTTTTGCAACAACTTACGATAGCTACGCGCCTGTGCCTTTAACATTCGCGTTTGGTCAATCTAGAGACATTTGGCAAATCGCCAGGTAGCGTGGACGTGACGATTAAATCGCGTGAAGTTTGCCTTAGGCCTAGGAAGGATTCCATCTTTTTTAAGGTTCTTGAGGTAGCAAAACCTTCTCGTTACTGTATTATCACTGTAGACAAATTGTAGCATTTTGCTATAACTGTATGTTGAGAACCAACTCGAAACATTCGCAACCAAATCTGTGACAGTCATACTGATAAAAGATTTTAGCAAATTATTCCTCCATACCTGTCCTTTTGAGCAAGTATAAGTTTAATAATAAAATCCTTATTTTTAAGGTATTCCTATCGTACTCAATAAAGTGATGCAGTATCCCTTTTTCATTAATGCGACTCACATAATCAAAAAATTCTGGAATCTTGTACTCTAAATGATTTTTTTAAAATTTACTCATCCTTCTAAGTATTTTTTAGAGTACGAACTCCGCATACACTTTTTCAGCAAGTGTGAACAAGAACTGCTACATTATTGCTACAGTATACCTACCGTACCTAACAAAAGATCACAACATCCCTTTTGAATTTAAGTCCATTTTAGTCTCTATAAAGGTTTTGAAATCTCGCATCTCATGGATTCTTCTAAAATTCGACAAAAATCCCAGTTACATCACAAAACTAGGCAAGATCCATGATTTCCAGGCAAAAAGCGAAATCTTGATTTTCTCGCGATCTTGGGGAATAAAAGATTTGAAAAGAAAACGTTGGTTGTCAAAACGTTGGCAATTTTCCAAGGAAGTTTTTGAAGTACCATTTCGAAAAAAGGTGAAACTTAGTGCAAAAAAAGATGGTAAAACTAATCCAAATCCATTAGAATTTTGTTCACTTCCTTATTTTCTAACTCGTTAAATCAACTATTCGCGCTTTCTCGTCGAATAATTGGGAGAAGGAGACGTCGTTCGTAGAAAATCCGAAATTTCGCAGCATAATTTCCTATGTGATAAGTAATGACATGTTATAACAGCTCCACCTTAATGCCTATGATGATCTTAGGCAAAACAAGTACAAAACTCTCATTACAAACCAGTGTCAATGATGTTGGCCCCTTGCAAAGTCTGCAATTCAAAATCACGCAAACATACGCTGCCAGCACGTATAATTGCGGTAATTATAGTGGCTGATAAAACCATCGTCGTGCCAACACATGGACGACGTTAGTACCGTAACACAGCAACAGATGTGAAAGATCTTATGGATAAAGACCTTTTTGGCAAGAGATGATCTTAGCGACAGGTCAGGCTCTAGCCGTGGGGCGTGGTTCGGTGAGAGTGAGAAGATTTGAGGACTTGTTTTTACTTCCAACTTCTTCGAAGTTTACACCTGGTCATCTTAGCCAAAACTATTCCAAGAACAAATTACTGTCGGCACGCATGCAAGTCCGTGACATTTCGTCAACTTTGCGCCCTTTAATTGTCAGCCGAGTCGGCATCTCTCTGATCCACCATAGCCAGATCACAAGCCGCCGCACCGCTGAACTTCACCATTTCTCACTCTTCGAAATTGGTGCAATTAGCCGTAACATCTGTGAGTTGCAGAATATCCCGTCTAGTTGGCGCCTTCGGAGTTGATTTCTATCTACGGCAACGATCTCCGAGCCGATACGGGGTCTAGTTCATCGTAACGGGCACGCGACACATCGTAAAATGTGCATGAACGGAGTTTTTTATGGGTTTTGTTAAGTGGCGTTTTTTTGCGGACATCGCGCATTTTTTATGCCTATTTTTTGTGGTTGTGAAAAAATGGTCGTTGCAAACTTGTTTGGACTTGTTCAAAATTCGTTTTCCCGGACTTTTTGAAATTCTTTATAGAGTTATGCGCACGAAATAGGTACGGTAACTTGAAAGTTGTGCATCCCATGTTTAGCGATGGGACCAAGCTCTCAGCTCAAAAAATTGAGTTATATGAGAGATTTTCAGAATATTCCTCCCTAAAACTTTGGAAATGTTTAGTTCTTCTTATTATCCAATCTTTTCTCGAAAAATAAAAATGCTACAAGATTTTCATATTTACTTTAACCACGAAAAAATTACAAACATAATGATAACAAGAAATACCCATAAAAGTGCACAATGTACTATGGAATGTGTGAGCATACAATATTGAATGACATATGTATTGATTGATATCGATCGATTGCATAACGGATCAGTTTTTCTCTGGAGATTGCTTTTCGCTGCTTTCGCCCAGGATTTCCATAAGGCAGGCGATGTATTGCTGTGCCATTTGTAGTGTTTCATATTTGGACAGACGACGTCCAGAATCCATTTCGGGTAGTACGGTACGCAACTGGAAGAGTAGGGTTACGGTAGGTTGGAAATTGTGCAAGTAATCAATACGGCATTTCGCGCTATTATAGAGTGGCAAATTCATTAGCATGATCAGATTGTCAAGTTTTGATTTCAAAATTTTAGAACATGCCCCCCATGTCCTCTGCGTCTCTAACCATCCCTCTACGTCCCTGACTTCCTCGAAGCTCTACCCAGGGATACAGAGTGTTCCAAAAGACAACAGGTGCGCGAAATGTGCATATCTAACGTTGACACTAAATCATTCATTAGGCTTCCTCAAACTAGGTGTCCTTGACGTGATTCGCGTCGCGTCTTAGCAGCAGTAACAGCAACAGCTTGATGACGAACAGTCGATGATGATACGGTATCGCGTGCGTGCGTTACGTAAGCAAGAAATTCGAATTTTCGTGAGAGTTGTCCATAACACAAATGATTAATTGGAAAAGTGATGTCATTTATCTGTCACAGGTAGAATTTAATAAGCATTGTATGGGGTAATTTGGGTTACTCCAAACTGCCAAATTGTTACAAGAGCGATATTTCTGGTAATTATTACTGGTTTTCTCCGCAGCCGCGTCTCCAAGGAAAAAAGAAAATCTGTGGATATATTTTCTTCTCTCAAGATAATCATTCTATCCTATTACCAAGTTGAATGGGTCAATAAGAATAACTTTTAAGTATATAAGCATCAATTGAAAATTGTTTTCCCTTTTCTTTTTAGGCCAAAGTCTTGTAGAACTAGTAGAGCCTGCATTTTGTAAAAATCACCATCTCTTTTTGCGTAACAGCGATCGACTGCTTATGAATGAAATTAATTTTTTTAACAATTGGAAGAGTTCACTTTCGTCTTCTGGTCAATATCCAAGGTATTTGAAATTAGTTTTGTAAAATGCTATGTCGTCATAAAAGCAGAACAGTGTAGTGCATTTATTATAAGACTGCAAATTACAAAAAAACTGTAGTCATCCAGAAATAAAATCCAGCATATTTGTGATTGGAAAACATATGATTTTTTTCCTTTTGCGTTTATGCAACAGCAAAAAGTACCTTTATAAATATTTTGCACTTACAATTTCGAGGAAAAGTTTTGGAATTTTGTCTATTAGATGGTGTTAGTGGATCGAAACAAGCTTGTCAAGTCGAAAAAGAGATAGTTTTTCCGTATTCTCATAAGTTATCTCGCATCAAGGTTTCTGAATAAGAATTGAAAGCTACAACTCTGAGAGAATTTTTGATTTGAAACACTTGAAAGAGGAAATATTTCTACGCTTCTCAATAGAAAGAAGTGGCTTCTGTTGAATATGGTTGTTAGAATTACTGAAAACAATTACTAAAATAAGTTTTGATTTGGTTTTTTAATTGTTCTTCTACCTGAAAAAGTTCGTGTGATCGACACCTCCGTAAATCGTAATGATTTCCGAATTCTTTGATATGCACAATAATCCACACATTCTTGTACTTCGCTAAAAGGGTTTGAGTAACTCAGAAGGTTATTGAACGTTTGCAAGATTTATATGAAATTTCCTGTTTTTAGTGGAAGACTTACGCAGCAACTTACTGTGCAATATCGCTTAGATTGTGTACGAAACGTCTGTGAATGTCGCGGAATTCCGGAAATTCCGAGAAGTCCGCGACATTTTTGAAATTTCGCGGCATTTACGAAGATTCTGCACATTCTGTCAGCAATATTTAGTTGTTGTTATCTCACGTAGAATTTTCAACTTCTTTTTCTTTAAAACCAACCTTATCATAAGCCACATTCAGCGTATTCATCCGTCGACGTTCTCGTTCATTCGCGGCACTTCGGCGGATTCTTAGCAACTGTGGCGGTGGAGGCTGATAGCGGCGAGATTTTGTGATAGTCCTTAAAAACGCAAAATTGATTGGAAAGCTACGTTTTCAAAAATTAACTTACCTCGTGATCTGTCCAAATTGTGGACTATGATTAGCACTGGCACTGGTAGCCTGAGGTTGAGGTTGCGGATTGAAATGAGGCAATGGCAAGGAGCAGCCGGGTGAATGCAGTTCAAGTGCGTGAAAGGGGATGTAGGAGTAATCCCAAGAGGACATGTCGAGAGGATCAACACTTGTGAGGAATGGAGGGAATGAGGTAACGGGAGGGCATGAGCGGTCAGCCACGCCCACGCAATAGGTGAGCGCGCGGGTTACGGTAGCCGCGCTGGATGAAGGGGGGGGGAGAACAGGGCAGCTGGGAAATAAGAAAGAAGGATGAGCAGGTTCACAAACCTTGGAAATGGTTTTATAGGTTCAAACCCGGATCTTCTCCATACCGTTTCTCCTTTACCCCCTCCTCCCCCCCCCCTCCTCCCACCCTCCCCCTTCCTTCATTTGACTTCAAATACCATACTCTTGGCTTCCTAATATAGAGAAGTAAATAATTGGTGGAAACAACGAGTGTTTTCACTATAAGGTAGGAAGAGGAATGAAAACTCACTGACAGTTAATGGCCTACAGAATCTAGAATGCATAAGCATGTGAGACTGGTGATTTCTTTCCGCGAATCGTTTGTTTGTTTTTGGTTATGGTAGAATACGTTAGGATCTTGAAAGTCAGTGGTGTGTTTAGTTAATCATGCGACATTTCTTCTTCTTTTGTATAGCTTTTTCTTTTCAATAGGGGGAGGGAGAGGGAGGGGGGGGGGGGTAAAAAAGAAAGAAAAGGGACCGAACTCACTTCATTCAAAAGCTATTTTTTTACAGCTTTTCATTAACCTAAATATATGTAGTTCCAGACTTGACCTCCATAAACCTGACCGAAACTCTTGAAAAGTTACCTTTTTTTTGTGAAAAGCCAAAAATCACCGGTTTTTTTTTCGCGATAGACTCAAGTTCTTTGCACCATTTTTCTACAGCTTTTTGTGGACCAAAAAACCGTAGCCCTGACGTAACCGTCATAAATCTATTCACAGTCCTTATCTAGAGATCGCCACGCGTCTACACACTTGCATGATGCTGGAAGCACAGTGTATCGTACACCATCTCTTATCGTCAACGCACACTGCATAGTTACACTCCACTGGCAATTCTAGTACTCAACACTTTAGTGAGATACGGTACTCTGCGAATTTGTTGTTAAACTTAGTCTATGAATTCGGAACCAAGTTCTCGACAGCAGAAGAGTTGTCCTTTGTCATATGAAATATTTTGGCCAAATAATTTTATTCTGACATAACAATGTTATCCGTTTGTCTTCGGGGCATGATTTAGAAATTCATTAGGAGCATGTGGCTATCCCTCCTTATGGCACTATTTCGTCTCATCTAAATTTCTTGCCAAAATAGAATTTCCTACTGAAACTTCTTCCCAGTGACACCAAAAACTTATGATTTAGTAAGCCTAGTAGACTGTATAATGTGATAAATATGACACCATTTATGGTACCCCTTTAAAATTGCCTTCAAAAAGACCTATGACCTAAAAACCTATAACCTAAATCTACGTAAAAAGTATATTGTGGATTATAAATACTGTAAATTTTATGTGTACTGTATATAAATATTGTAAATCTGTGTAAGAAGTATACTGTAAAAATGTATATTCGAGGGTCTTGCCCTTCCGGTAAATCACTTGTACTAATTAAGAGCTTGCGTTGTGGTGCTTTTTCGTTTCCCAGTTTAGCCTTAGCTCTTCCAAATGGAGAAAATTCTCCTGGAGCTGATCGGATTGCAAAACACCCTATCGCATCTCTAAATATAATAACTAGTCTCGAGTAGTTTTTCAAGATTTCTAGACTATTTGGCCAAACTGCAATATGACTGAAGCTGAAAGCCAGAAAACCATCACAATTTTGTGCCAACATACTCAGCTCATTTTCTTAATTACAAGATTAGATAACGCCATGAATGATCGATCACATCTTTTTTACTGGTAATGGTTAGGCGCCCCATGGCTGAAACGCATTAGATGATGTAATTTCGTTGTGTCAGTTGACACCCATTAGCAGTCACTACTTTAATTAGGGTACGGTGCTGGATATTTGCATCTCAGGGTTTTGTAGACGCGTAAATATCCTTTCAATGATAATCATTACAAATCCGAGAAAGCAAGGAGGAAGTGACTCTTCCAGCGGTAGCCAAATCGCCCATTGAGGACCATATTGAGTGCTAGGGATAGTGGGGCCAAACCGACTGGAACTTTGGCATCAGCTGTTTACGGGGTCCTGTAACGAAACATCTGAGAGACCGCGCTTCCTCAAATTTGGTGAGACACTGCCTTTAAAATGTTTTATACTACAGTTTATCAAGAGAGACTGTATGATTTCGGTATAGGCCAAGACAATATTCACAAGTGTTGATCGATTTGCCGAACAAAATTCAGTTTATACTTTTTTGGCTCTGCTATTTCATGCAGACTAAACCCTACTAACTCATGTGTTTTCTGCTCGTAGAAACTGGGCATTTTATGATGTATTCTATGGCCTGTTTGGGCCAATAGCGTACCGCATATGAACAGAATATAAGGAGGTTTCCTTTCAAAATTTTGAGAAGGACATTATTACCCAAAGGTCAGACTGGATGAAAAGTCAAAACAAACCAGGTTGGCTCAAATAGGCTACAAAATGCGAACCGTACCAATTCACCACGTTTCAACAATCAGCGTTTTGTGCCTTACACGAATGTTCCATCTAGAAATAAGATCTTTCATGAACTGCTAATAAAAATTATTCTCAAGTGATATTCCAGCTCAGAAGTTGTGAATGGGACCATTTGCCACTGCACTGATGAAGCTTATCGTTCCCTTTCGTTTCCATCATTTCTCTCATGTCTACACTTTCATTAAAATTAGATCTTTCAAAATGTCTGCAGTAAAATTGTCGTCCACTGTGTCTGATCTCATAATTATTTTTTAAAGCATGGATTGTCTATACTAATCTCTCATAGCTACAGGGTACCCCAAAATCAGGGCCCAGTACGAGCATGCAAATGTCACGCAGGAAATCGTCCTACGTGGAAGCCTTATATGCATTAATACCCCTTACAAGGGAAAGATGTTTGGTAGAGTGGCCATTCAAGAGAGATGTACCTTGAAGGACATAAAATGGTGAAAATGGTGATTCCAAATCTGCCTTCCTTATCGGCGAAGCTTTCTGAGCGCGAAGTTATGAGGGTTTTCGGAGCAAAAAATTAAATGTACCACATGGGGAGAATTATTGTCGAGTCATTCCTAATTTGATATGTGACCCTGCACACAAAGCGTTTCAACGGACGGCACCCTTAACATTAACTTCTCGATCAAATCTTGTCTAACGTAACAAAGTGTAATCACTAACTAACCGATATCCTTTCAAACCAAAAGAGACAAAGAAACAAGGCGAAATCGCCGAAATGAGCGGGTTCCAATCTTCTAAATTCGTCACATAGCGCGTATGGTGTGCAATATGCATATTAAGCTACAAATGACTCGAGGATAGCTGTTGGAATTTTCCAAGCCCGGTGATGAGCCAATTTATGTTCAAACTTAGAGCAATTATTACATAAAGTGCCGGTTAGAAAGTACATTTTTGCTGAATCCATCGTAACTGAGCATTCAGTCTTTTGCTCCGAAATACTCACAGCACTTTGCGCCCATAAACCCTTCGCAGATAAGGATGGCAGATTTACAAAATCAACATTTTATGCCCTCCAAGAAAGCGTGCATCTCATTTTAGAAGACCACTTTGACCAAACATCTTTCTTTTTAGGAATGTTCAGCCCCGTGAAGACCAAATTTCTCACGTGGCTGATGTGTTCCAGCATGATCTTTAGACATTCTGAAAACTGTCTTTGCACAAAGTAGTAAAGAAATGATTCGATTACGGCGCTCACATAAGATTATGCTAACAAATTTGGTAGGTGACGGACAAAGGCTAAGAGGAACAAACTGAGAAAAGCTGTGAGAAAATTATGTGATTGAAAGGCACCGTAGGCATTTTATAATTTCCTGTCACCAGAAATGAAAACTGACTCGTTTGCAACACATAGATGACAATATGGCCTATTGAATTGTACTCTGTACGCGCAGCTTTACAAATTTGTACAACATCTTACAAGCCTCAGAGCTGTTTTTTGCTTTAACTGTTATAAACTATAAAACAGGGCGGTCCACACGAATTCTGAAGCTCTGCAAAAAATTTATTTTTAGTCTATTTCATGCCACGTTTGACACTAGACTGTCTTCTGCATATTCCTTTGTTCCATTGTAGCCCTTGAGTTCGATTCTTCAAAGTTGATTCAACAAAGAGATTGATCAACCATCGTCGCAATGAAAAGTGCAAATTGCAAAGTTTCGAGATTTTGAAAAAAAGCATTTGAAGCAAATCTTGAGAGGCTGCGGTGTTCCCACTAAGAACCTTGTTTGAAACTTTTAGCAGGATTAGGCAACAGATCACAATGAAAAGAAAATTGCAATGAAATCCATCTTTCGAGCCTTCAAAAAAAGTGTTTGGCTTCCAACACTAACCTTAAACCCAAAAATTCTCTTTTCTCGCTAACTGAGAGAAAAATCTGCTCTTTAAAAAGACTCGCTTTACTAAAAAGAGACCTATTGACGGTCTAGCACCGAAGTCCGGGTCTGGGACCACTGCGTGCGTAGTGGAAAAGGAGGAGGATTTTTTGAAAAAAAATTTCTTGCTCAACAGATGACTAGAAGAGCTTGCATTTTTGAGTTCTTCTAAGGTAACGAAATTCTTCGGATCACACTTTATGTGAATTATACCGTGTACCGTAAATCAATGCTCTTGAGCCGAACAACAAATCTTTCTCACTCGTTTCTGTATTTTTTATGGCTGCATCAGTCAGTCAGTCTATGTTCGTGAGTATCACCCGCAAAAATAAAATTAATTTCTTTCCAGACCAGAAGATTTTGCAGATGCTTGACTGAGATCAAAAGTCGCTCTCCGCAAAGTTTCGATGTGACGGGAACTCTCAACTTGTTGCTTGACGAATGATCTTTGTGATGGTTGACCTTCAGCGCATTGGTAACTACTGCTGCGATTGTCAGCAACGCCTAGGTACAAAAAGCGATGAACTGCGACTGGGATCACTTAGTGAAATCGTTCAGAGACCATGCCACGTTTCCAAGGAAAAGTCGCTGTTATTACAGGTACGTAGCTTTTGAATTGTTTTTGAGAATAAAAATGGTTTCTTAGGTTCCTCTTCTGGTATTGGAGCAGCTACTGCTGTCCTGTTTGCTAAGGAAGGTGCGCAAGTAACAATCACTGGAAGAAATCAGGATGGACTTGTGGTTGGTGGTTGTTTACTCAATAATTCTTCCTTTTTACGCAAAAGAAAGAGTTTAGGCAACCAAGAAGGCTATGCTCAATGCAGGTGCAAATGAGGGAAATCTCAACATGGTCATAGCGGATGTAACCGACTCTCAGGGTAGAAAACAAATAATTTCAAGCACTATCGAGAAATTTGGACAATTGGATATTTTGGTAGGTTACGCAAGGCTCAAAAGTAAATCGAATATTCTTTATAACGACAAATGAAAATCAGTCCCTCGATTTTTTCGTCTACCTTCCCCTGTTTTTTTTTTCACTCAGAAAACGTATCATTTCCAGCTTAGCGCAAGTAAAAAACGAAGATTAGGCGTATGGGCCTATGTGAAACATTATTTCAGTTATTGTTTAGGTAGTTCTGTTGCCAATCTCATTTTTCGCGGTTCCCTTGGAATAATTAAATAATTTTATTAAATCATTGCCGTTCAGGTCAACAATGCCGGAGCTGCAATCAGTGGTGAAGATGGAACATCGGGAATATCTGCTAGCACAGTCTTGCTGGAGAAAGTTATGAAATTGAATGTTTACAGGTAATAAAAGTCAATATCAATCAATACTCAAAAATTCCTTCACTTTTATTTTATAGCGTAGTCGATATGATACAACTAGCTCGCCCCTATTTGGCAAAGACAAAAGGTGAAGTTATCAACATCTCTAGCATATGTGGCCAGCCAACATCCGTGAGTTTACACTTTTTCCGCAATCACAGATGGGTAGTGCAAAAATTAATTACAGTATGCACCAGTCGCATATTACGCCATGTCGAAAGCAGCTTTGGATCAAATGATGAGATCAGCAGCGATTGATCTAATTAAAGAAGGAATTCGAGTGAATGGTGTGAGGTACGGGTCCCTCTACTCCTCCTACAATTTTTGGAGTGTTATTTTTTTAGCCCCGGCGTTGTTGTCACACAATTTGCAGAGAACATGCTATCTAACAAAGAGATCGCAAAACAGGTGAAATATTTGTGGGATTTTTGGAGGAATTTTTGAGATTACGCTTTTTATTTAGTTCTACGAAACATTTGCGAATAAACCGGGTGCACTACCATGTGGAAAAGTTGCCGTACCGTCTGATATCGCCAATGTGATCGCTTTTCTTGCCGATCGCAGTCAATCATCGTATATCGTTGGTCAGACGATTGTCGCCGATGGTGGCACTTCAATTGTACTCGCTTCGAATGCTGACTCGGCCGTGCCGACAGCAAAATAATTATCAGAATTTTTACAGAAATAATTCCGTAAATTCTCAGGAGTCCTATGAGATCGGACACCACGCATTTTTTATAACTCTTTAAACTTAGAGGCATAAGGCAATAGGATCAATTCTCAAACTTGTTATCTGATGAAAGAAGCTGACCATAAGCTGTATTCCCACTATATTCAACTTTGCACATTCACAGAAAGTAGGTAATGAGACTTCGACTTCAATGATCAAGCGATGCTTCATGTTTGCTTATTTTATGAGAATGTTAATGCGACGTTTAGTAACGTTCGAATGAAGTTTATCTCATATCTCATAATCCTTTTTTCTAACCTATCTGCCTATCAAAATTAACCATCGGTCCTTCTCGTATCAATGTTTGTTGTTAAATTGATGTTCCTAATAAATAATTAGACTAAAATTTGTTGTTAACTATATAAAAACTTGTTTAAGTGTTGCTGCATAATCAACCGATGATTTGGACCACAATAGTTTCAGAGTTTTATAAGCTTTGACGCCACATGATCACGTTGAAAATTCACAAACAGTTGGTCCACTCTGTGTTAAATGTCGGATAAAGTTTTTGCAAAAAAGTGCATCGTCTTCTTTCTAAGAGAAGATTCCGAAAAACAGCAAGAATATTACATCAAGGTGAAGACAAATTTTAAATTAATGCTCAAGATGCATTATCCATTTCTCTCAAAAAGTTGCATAGCCACGAAGGACGATTTTTTTGTATCTTAAAGTTGACCTCAAACTTCATGCGGAGATTTAGAAGCGGATATCGGTGGTCATTTTGTAGAGCCCACTTTGCTTTATCAACTAGTTCCCTCGTCCTTTCATATTCACACTGCGGCTGTAGAAAAACAACTCTCATCACTTTTGCGTCAACCTAATAATTATTCAATCTAATTGATCAGGTGACTTTACACAAAAGGTTATCTTCCTCATTATAGTCATCTGTTCGCAAAAACGCAAGACACCAAGCAGATTCGCGCCAGCGGGGTCCGAAATTCTCGATGGGGAGGGGTGCGACAAGAAACTTCGAGTGAACGGGCATAGCGTTAGCCATCTTCAAAAATTTTGAGTTGATTCCCAAAAATTCTACGGTAACTCCTAATTTCAGAACCACCCGGAAAAAACTTACAAGAGTCTAATTTGAGTTTTCAAGAAATTCTATAATTTATTAATTTTTTACAAGGGGAAACAACCATTCTAGGTGCGAAAGCTTTGCACATGCGCTGCAGTTGCGCAACATTGGCGCAACAGACTTCATCCGACGAAGGTGAAACGAATTGAAAGCCCCCTTGCATTCTGTTGCTGAATAGTTCTATCAGTTTTACCTTTTTATTCTGCAGCTCAAGAAAATTACTTCACTTGTATGGTTAACAGTATCTTGTTGTCTTGAGGATTACTAGAATCAGAAAAGGATTGTTCATCTCATGCAGAAGCGAGTGCAAAAGTTTATGCTTGCGATCAAGCCTTAAGACTTTACTCATTGTCTATGTAATATGAGTATTTACATTGAGACGGCCCATACTCATCGTTGATTGAATCTTTTGCTTATCATTACAGTCGATCGATTGGCTTTTATCAATCGAAAATCGCTCATGTTTTTATCTCTTAATTTGAGAAATTAAAAGAAAAAACTGCTATATTCAAAAGAAAAAACTGCTATATTGATATTAGGTTGTCCGGAAATTAATGCAGGTTTTGCATATTCTCACTTCAAAGCGTCATAACTCCTTTAAAATCGAATATTTTGAAATGAGGTAAAAAATGCTGTGATCAGCAAGTCTTTTTCTATTTGCGCCATTTTTTTGTAACTGTAGCTCCAACAAGCAAATTACTGAAAGCCAGAAAGTAAAAAGAAATTTCTTTGAAAAGGTCATACTTGGCAAGTTGTGAACTCCTACCGAATATGAGTGTTCAGCCAGAAACTTCTGCAGCTTATTGCCACAGACCAGTACTACATACATAGCCATGCAGAAATTTTTTAAGAAATTTTCTGCGAAAGAAGAATTTGCGGAATTAAAATTTTCCATTTTTTCGATATTTCCTCCACGGCTGCGATCTCCGATAATTTCGATTTTTTTATTAACTAACCAAAAATAAAGCCTGGGAGGTACCAGTTGAGATAATATCTGACGGTACTGGCCTCACTCTTCAAGTACGAGGAGAGACTTTCACGGTTGCTTTTTTTAAAAAAAGTTTTTTACGCCATGGAGTGGCCGCTACAATTATTCATGTTAAAACCTCAGTTTCTCTACTCTCACAATTGTTCAAAAGAAGCGCCACTATCTGTTTTGTAGGTTCAATCAATATCTTGCTTCAGCTATATTATCATTGAAATACTCCTCTTGCCGAAGAAGTTCAAGCTAAAACAGTGCAAAGGGTAAATTTAGTAATTTAAAGCTTCATCTTCGGATGGTTGTAGATTTTGAACAAATGAAGTTGGTCGTAGAAATAGTACTGTAAAAAAGAGCATGATGAGCGGCTTCTTTTAGTATGCGGAATTGGTCGAAAGATGCACATACACAGAAGAACGATCTTTTTTGAAATTGCATTTGCAGAAACCTGCATTAATTTCCGGACAACCTAATATGTTCTAGCTAACTATTAACTGCTTCATGCTTCACTTTCAGACAAGAATCTCGCAGAAGCAAAAGAAACCATATTGATGAATGTTGGGATCTTGCTGATACCTCAAACTGAGAATAAAACGTTTCTTCCACTTTTTCTTGCCTCTTCAAAAATTTGGCTTTAAGCTGCTGTCTAAACAGTGCATGTTAGCCGTAAAAGTGCCACTATCAAGAGTGAGTGTAGCTCATTAATTTCTTTCATTACTAGAAAATTGAAATTTTAACTCTGTCTAAAATCCCTCTTGATGCTATGCGGGTTGATTAGTACCCACTGGGATATTTCTCACTGCTCACTAGTCAAAATATGCACCTTTAGTCCCAACGATGAAAATCTCCCAACAAATTTGAAAATTCTCAGGATTTCGAAATTGCTGTCCGTGTAGTATTTTATCTCTAGAGGCTGATCCACTTAAATTTACAAGGAAACAGGGACAAATTCTTGAGCGCACTGTAAGCATAACAACAGCTGTATAGACCGCTTAGGGAATTTAAAATGGGTTCTATGAGTTAAATGAATTTTTGCAAATAGTAAAAGGAGAACCCTTAAAGAGGATTGGATAATTTTCGCTATTGAAATGGTCTTAAAAATTCCTAACTTCTATATAATATTCGCCTGGTAAGTTACAATACCGCTCACAGAATGTGCAAAATTTCCGTGAATGTCGCAGAATTCCGGGAATTCTGCGAAGGTTCGCGAAATTCCGGGACTTTCGCGACATTCCCGGAATTTCGCGAAATTCATGTAAATTACGCAAATTACGCAGGGCCATAACTTCTTTCCGAATGAGTATATTCAAAATCCGAAAACAGCATTGTATTCAGCTCGTGAAGGCGAATCTTTTGCTATACAGGTTGTCTCCAATATCCTGTTTTCAATAATCTTGAATTTGCATGCGGACGCCTTTTCGCGTGGGTGTAACGCAACCAGCATCACACAGAGGAGACTGCGGCGGACACCCTTCGATAGTACTCTTGCAGTAGATTATTCTGCGCTAAACAGCAGCCGAAGACTTCCTTTTAAAAGAGATAGAAGAGCTGATAAACTCTGGAAAATTTAAGCTGTTCCAAGTTCTACCAGCCGTAATTTTAATTCTTCCGGTATACAGCTTGTCCTTGATATTCCGTTTCCAATTTTTTCAAAATTTTCTGCGCCCGTATATTCGCAAGGTCGCAACTCAGCGCACATCAAACAAAGCATCTCTCTATAATAAAGCGCTAGAGATGACTCATGCATGTAAGATACCCCCCCCCCCTCGCGATCGCGATTCGGATGTCAACAACTTTGTCGTTATGTGCCGGTGCAGGTGCACGGAGCTGTGGCTCATGATGGTAGTGGCGTCTGTCATAGATGATGTTAATCGAGGAGCCTAACCAGCAAAGTGACTTGCCAGACAAGCTAAATGCTGGGAAGGGGTAGGTTACTTAGCTGTTTTCGTTATGCATTAGATTACTATATCGCAATAGCTAGCAGCAACGCAAGCGCGGATAGCTTCCGCTAGAAAGGTTTTGAAGTTTCGGAAAACATCAGTCAAAATATAGAAAGCATATTGGAGGTATAAAAAATATTGTAAACTGAAGGAATGAAAGATGGAGGTCCCCAATGCTGGTACGAAAAATATGGTTTGAAATGCCACAAAATTAAGATATTAGGGTAGCATAGAGGAAGCTGATACGAAAGAAGGGAGGGGGGCAGGGGGGGGGGGAGAGTGGAAAAAACTTAGGGAGATGTGCACTTTGACTTCGGCAAAGGCAAAGATATACGCACGTTTTCAAGAAAATCAGAGATCAAAGCTTTGAGCGGTCCTGGCAGAGGAAGCTCAAGAGTAGTTTTTGGGATGTAATCGAAAGGTAAAGGAAAACTAACAAAATATGGCGCAAACACTTGAATAATGCTAAATTTACATATAGATAAATTTAGGGACATTCGGACATTTCCAATAAAAGGAACGAGTGTCAGGTTTTTCCCTGATCTCGAAGGAGCCGGAGACATTCCCGCACGGTTTCTCGAAAAACATTCATTTCGGGGAAAATAAGTGATAGAAAAGCGGAAAGTGGATTGGAAGGTTGAGATTACTCTCGCTGGGTATGCATAAATTGATAAAAAAACAATCTGAATACCTCAAGAATATGATTAGTGTGGCACATTTTGAAGAAATAAGGAACTAGGGAAACGTGGAGATTTTTTGAAGGAAACTCAAAATATGCTTATGCTGACATGCCTTCAGGGCATAGGGGGGGGGGGAGTGAAAACACAGAGGGGAGGGGGAGGGGGTTGCAGCGCAGTGTGACAGAAGAGCTTTCAATTTCTTCCAAAAAGTTTTGCGGACGACTTAGATGGCTTACTTTTAGTCCAAGTTGCACAACCTCAGCAGATTTGGCTATTTTAGACCCACCAAGCTAATGTTTTGCAAAAGCTGTAAATCTTCCACATGCCAAACATTTGGGGAGATAAGAAAAGCTCTGTTGTGTATTTCATTCACATCAACATATAAAGCCTATAGAAATTTCACTTCGCGTTTTCGCCATTAGCAGATGTTTGCGAACACTTACTTTTTGACTAACCGTAAGAAGAGGCAATGTGCCAAATTTCTATGCACATCCCACTTCACACACGGCCAGACCGAAGTGCCGCTTCGCGGCACTTCGGTCTGGTCAAGCATAAAAGTTTCGAAGTTTCCTTACAATCCAAGATCATCGACATTTTGACCAAACCTATCGGCGAGCTTCAGGGCGTAGAACGAAAAGAAATCAAATCACCCGCATTTCTTTAAAACTTGCTCCTAGAGGTTATCTGACCTGCTGATTACGAAAATCACATCTGCTTAGCAGGAGAGCCTCCCATTTTAGGGTTACAGTGGGCAAAATTTGAGACAACACGATTTTTCCAGAATTCACCAGCTCTTCTATCTTTTCTGAAAAAGATTCCAAGGTTCTTTTTTAGCGCTCGGTAATCTGCGGAAGCAGCGCAATCCAAAAGTGCCTACTGGAGTCTTTTATGTTTGATGTGCGCTGAGTTGCGACCTTGCGAATATACGGGCGCAGAAAATTTTGAAAAAATTGGAAACGGAATATCAAGGACAAGCTGTATACCGGAAGAATTAAAATTACGGCTGGTAGAACTTGGAACAGCTTAAATTTTCCAGAGTTTATCAGCTCTTCTATCTCTTTTAAAAGAAAGTCTCCGGCTGCTGTTTAGCGCAGAATAATCTACTGCAAGAGTACTATCGAAGGGTGTCCGCCGCAGTCTCCTCTGTGTGATGCTGGTTGCGTTACACCCACGCGAAAAGGCGTCCGCATGCAAATTCAAGATTATTGAAAACAGGATATTGGAGACAACCTGTATAGCAAAAGATTCGCCTTCACGGGCTGAATACAATGCTGTTTTCGGATTTTGAATATACTCATTTGGAAAGAAGTTATGGCCCTGCGTAATTTGCGTGATTTACATGAATTTCGCGAAATTCCGGGAATGTCGCGAAATTCCCGGAATTTCGCGAACCTTCGCAGAATTCCCGGAATTCTGCGACATTCGCGGAAATTTTGCACATTCTGTGAGCGGTATTGTATTTATTGATCACACATTTTCAATGTCAAAAGGAAAATTACTTTGATAATACAATTTTTTGACGTTTATTGCCTTTCTTCAATTCCGGATTTGTTACTTTACTCTCGGTTTTCCTGTTCTCTCTTTGAAATTCTACAAACTGCTCTTTTCTCTTTATTCCTTAGCAAGTGTACATTTCAGATCTATTGCGATGAGTGCTATATTGTTTTACTTAATAGTGTTGTCTGTAGTATTCTCCTATAATATTCTGATCTAAAACCCCCTCATGTGGCCTAGTCACATTCAAATTGTCAAATTTCTCGACAAATTTGCCGATGTCTTGGTAGAAGGTGGACATGAAGTAGTGAGTTTGCGTGGTTTCCCATGTGGTTCATGTTGCATATTTTCATCTTGAGACAGTTCTTATGCCCGAAATGGACAAAGACCTGGTAAATATTTCTGTTATGCGGAGTAGGGGGCGGATCATAAGCAGTGCAGTCATTAGCTGTTAGCTTAGCTGTTTTAGGTGAGCACTGTTTAATTCTGCATTTACTTTCGTAGCTCTCGGTTTACTGACGCATTGGACGTCTTTTTCGAGTGATGCGGCTTTTAATGGGATAGATCACTCATGTATTCAACGATTTCTGATCTGAAGAGGCGATTTAGCTAAAACTTCAGTCGAATAAAGCAATTACTAATCCCGGTGTGAAGCTCAAGCAGTTATTGAAACAATGTATGTATTAGGTTGTTGCAAAAATAATGTCCGTTTTTCTAGATCTGTATTCCAAACAACTTTTTTCCCATCAAACTTTCTTTTTCGATATACCATTTGCATATCTTGAAAAAGCTCTCTTCATGTACTTTCTCGTGGCTGTAGAATAAAGCTGCTATCCTCACTTGTGAGAATTTCACCAGCATTTTCCACATCCGCACTCAAAATCGGAGTCTCATAGCTTCCACTTTCTTGACCACAAATCAGGAGCAAATAAACGAATTCTTCTGAAAACATAGCAAGTGTATTGAACGAAGATTGTTTACCTATTGCGTGCTTATGTAGATTTTTGGAGAAATGTGCACTGAGAAATTGCCGCGTCAAAATAGACACTCGCTGCTGGCATTCTATGAGTCAGAAATTTCTCATAATTAAGGCAATCGCCAAAGCTACGCCCATTTCTGTAAGCTTGAAATTAGCACACCTTAACTACATTATTTGAAGAGAAACTTAGCTATTCAGTGCGCGAAGAATTCCAAATTTTCATAATTGGGCACTTACAACAAATAGGCTCAAAAGAGTAAACATTTTTGAATTTTTGTCTTTTCTCTTCACAGAACTCTTTCGTTGGAGTTTTTCCTATACACCCCTATACTATTGACCTGCGGCTACAAAATAAGCTAATTAGCACACATGGAGACAAAGCTTGAAGGGAGTTGTAAGCTCTTGAAGACGAGGTATTCAAGAGAAAAACTTTCAGTTTTCTGACGCATGGTTTTCTTCCCGTTTGCGATATCAGTATGGGCAGGGGCGCGCTAAGTAAAGAAAGGTTTGATGTTTCTGATGGTCTTGCCTGCATTCAAAAATATGGAGATTGAACGAAGTTATAGCCTTCCAAAGTGAAAATTTGCAAAACGGACATTATTTTTGCAACAATCTAATAGATATATGTATTATATTTCGTTCATTTGTAGCACAATAGCATTGAATCTTCAGTCTGTTGTTATTGGTTACGCTCGCTTTTAAATTTTTGAAGCAGTCCTGTAGAATGGTACGCTATTTTAAAGAACAGTGAACCGTTTTGGCGTTTTATCTGGAGCTAAGTGATAGGGAAAGTAAGCGGCGAAATATAGACTCAAACTTTTTAAGAATTATGTGATAGCAGTTCTGCGCTGCTTATCCATGTTTTTATAATAGTGAGCTGTCGTAGAATTTGCAACGGACACATGTGCTGATTATTTTGCATTAACCAAAGCAACTTCAAATTTGGTCAGTTTTTCCTTAGTCTGAAGCATTTTGCATTCGACGGTTCGCGAATCAAATTTGTATCCAAGTTTCAAGCAACGACTGTTTGACCACAAATCATACGCACGAAATATCCTTATCTCCGTTTGCTGTGCTGCTTCGGATGCCACATTGATAACTTTGGAGAGTTCGTAAGCATGACACGTTTTCAAGGAAAAGTAGCTATAATTACAGGTAAAACTGATCAATTGTAATACTGTATTTGTGATCTCTATTTTTTAGGCTCTTCATCTGGAATTGGAGCCGCGACAGCTTTATTGTTTGCTAAAGAAGGAGCTAAGGTTACAATTACAGGAAGAAAGCAGCATGGTCTTGAGGTACTTTCGTAAAGATTTTGAGACAAACTGTAAAAAAAATAAGCACAAATCTGCGGACAATTTCCCAAGTTCAACTATGCCTAAAAAGGAAACTTCAGAACCTAATTAGTTCTGCTTCGTTTTCTCTACAAAAAAGATTTTAGTAATTAAGTATGCATCAGTGACAGCCTCAGGATTGTTGTTCGAAAAGAGGTGACAAAATTTTTTCAAATTGATAGCGCATAGCTTTAGCCTCGCGCTCTGGAAAATTTATTAAAACTCTTCCCAAAATTTTTCTGGGTTCAAACCCCAGATATTTAGAGGGGCGTGTTGACAGCCCTCCAAAAAATTGTTTTTTACGAAGCTAATTCGAATTTCCAATAATTATAATATTATTTGCGAGATGAAAAAAATTGCACTTTTTTACAACTCGTATAAGCAACTTTCAAGATTTTCACAAATACTCCCCTACCCTCCCCCCTCCCTTGGTATGCCACTGGCATGCACATCTAACAAAGAATGTTACTTAAGTACTAGCACAATAGGTTGAGAAAACTCATCGGTTATTCCGTTGATTTGTCCTACGAATGAATATACGACCAAATTACAACTGCGAGGTTTTTTCCGAAAGCATAAGAAATAACAGTAAAATCCTGATAGGCATGATGAATCTATTGCACCCCTGCATTTTTCTACTTAAATGTACCAATAATCATTTTACAGGCCACTAAGAAAGCTATTCTTGGAGCTGGCGTTTGTAGCGACGACGTAAATACTGTGCAAGCGGATGTTACCGACGCTCATGAAAGAGAGCGGATCATCTCAAGCACAATCCAGAAATTTGGTCGTTTGGATATCTTGGTAAGATATTCTTTTTTTTTGTTATTGGGTTCAAAATGAGCTATTAGGTTGTCTCATAAGTTTTTCCAGTTTTAAATTATTCCCCCAATAAGTTGCATGCTTCCCAACTCCGATTAAAAGCAGGGTACCGTTCGATAGAGCAAAGCAAGCGCTAGTCCACGAGAAATATTCAACTCAACATAAATCCAGCAAAAAGAGCTAGATTCGGTATTTGCTAAAGACTAGACCTCTAAAGAGGCTGAAAATCTGCCGATGTATTTCTGAAGGCCCGTGGTGTACATTTATCTGTGTGAGAACAGCGCAGCATCGCTTTTTTGAAAGCTTGAAAATTCCAGTTTTCTCGGTTTCTAGCACAACGGCGTATACGTCTGCCCCAGCTCCAACCAGGTGAAAATTGGCTTGGCGGGAGTCCGGGTGAAGTGGTCGCATCACGCTTATGGCTAGCTAGTCTGCTCTTTTCCTCTCAATCTCTTCGCTCTCTGCGGCAGCGCGCGTATGCAGCGCAAGCTCTTAGCGTTGCGAGCGCGCAAATTCAGCCGACGGTTCGGTCTGATCCCGATTGGAGCAGAGTGTATGTTTTATACGGATTGTATATGCGTGAGCAAGTCTAGAGTCTTGTAGTTTTCTTTGAACAAAGATATAATTTTTTTTAAAGTTTTTCGGGCATCCGAAAGTTTACAGATTTCGGCTCTTAACTTGTGAAGTGCTGAAGCTGGTGCGCAGCTTACACGCAATCTTATAGAGCTTGCTTTACTCTATAGCGGTGCCCTGCATTCCAATCAGAATTGAGAAGTACATGACTTATTGGGGGGACAGTTGGAAAATGAAAAAACTTATGAACAATGTAGTAGTTTTACTTATATTTTTTATGGGTCTAGCAGAAAAAAAACAAAAAAAACCCCGCTGACTGTATCGACTAGGGTTAGTCTTCAGGTAAACAACGCCGGTGGTACATTTCTTAGCCCCGATGGTTCAGCTGGACTAAAGGCTAGCACCGATCTCCTTAAGAAGACTATGGATGTGAATGTATACAGGTATAATAATATTTAAAAATGATATATTTAGGGGGAATGGTAAAAAATGGGACAGCTTGATTTTTTTTACATTTTGAGATTTTTTGTTCACCCAACAATAAGCAGGCTACAACTCAAACGTCGCTTACATAAACGACCTTCGCCTATTATTCTGGCAACGCGTTACCGCTCCTCTCTCATAACCGTACGCGTGGCGCCATGAAGAACGTAGACAGGGTTTCTGGAACAATCCTCAATCTTGCGGCGCTGCTATACCATGAAGTCGTAAAGCATATAACATACCATTCGAAAGAACTCTTCATGCTCTTTCAAACGATATGTTAAATGTATGGGATTTTTTTCCACTTTCAGAAAAAAAGCGAATAAAATCTAAAAAATATCTATTTTTGGCGCAATAGAAATCCAAAAAATCATGTTTTGCCCTATATTTTTCGAAGATAGATAAAATCTGAGGTAAGCTGCATGTGGATGGATAGAGCGCAAAAAGCTCTATCAGATGGTACCTAGGAAACATGCGTTCACCTGCAAAGAATTGAATAGCGCGTGTCTTTGTTCTCAAAGCTGCTAATGGCCATATCTCCTGACTTTGAAAGTTGAGGCCACCAAGCCGTCGTGGGTTTAGTGACTGTCCCATCACCCACTCCAGCAGCGGTACTTTGGGTGGTCTCGGATGTCCGCTTTACAGATACTGCTCAAACTTCATAATTTGTCGAAGTGATTACCTTTGCACTTCAGCAAGTATAAAAATCATTAATTATGTAAATGACCTTATGTAGGCATTATCTGAAAGGGAATAACATATCCTAACATCTATCAAAATTGGAAAGTCGTCAAAATTGGAAAGTCTAATCTTTTCTCATTCTTGGAAAACCTCCAGTTATTTCGTAAGTGTCCCATTTTTTACCGTTCATCCAATAATTCATGACTTGTGCTTTAGTGTTGTTGAACTGATCCAGTTGGCTCGCCCATATTTGGTATTGTCAAAGGGCGAGATTGTAAATGTCTCCAGCATTGCCGGGTTGCCAACAGCGGTAAGCAGCACTTCAAAATTACTGTAAACTATCGAGTTTAGTACGCAAAAATACCGTATTATGCGATGTCGAAGGCAGCTTTGGATCAGATGATGCGAGCTGTGGCAATCGAACTTATTGCTGAAGGAGTGCGGGTAAATAATGTTAGGTAAAAAATGATTTTACTTACCAATGGATCAAGAATTTTCGTTAATTCTGATCAATCTAGTCCCGGTGGAGTTATGACAAATATAGCACAAAATAGTGGAGTATCTGATGAAGTTGCAGCAAAGGTAAGAGTTCATGGTATATGTTAACCTAATTCATATCTTTTTTTCCAGTTTTACGCTACTTATGCCAGAAACCCATTCGAAGTTCCTAGCGGCAGAATAGCTCAACCGTCAGAAATCGCAACTGTTATCGCTTTTCTGGCTGATAGAAGCCAATCTTCTTACATCGTTGGCCAAACAATCGTCGCCGATGGTGGCAGCTCAATTGTTCTAGCTTCAAATGCTGATGTACCTGTGAAGGAGACAACACAGTTCTGAATATGAATAAAAAGTCTCTTGAACTGCACTTATCCAGCAAGAGCGGTTCGAATCTGGGCATAGAAACTCTTCCTTTTCTGAAATCACGTGAAATCTTCCATTTTCATTTGTTTCAGTCAAAATGCTGCTTTTCTTTCCTAATGTGTTAGTCGCCATCCTTTAAAGGTGTAGATCACTAAAAAAAATACTGTCGTAACCAGTCATTGAATTTTTGCTAACTACCATTTGATTCAACTGGCTTGGCATCGGCAAAGGCGGGGTCTCGTGACCTAATTAAGGCTAGGTAATGATCAGAGAGCACTCGCGCGAGAGAGACGCAGGTGCGTCGCGGGCGCGAGCGACCTCAATTAGATCACAAAACCCCGCTCTAATGGTGCCAAGCCGGTTGAATTAAATGTTAGACCAGCAAACATAGTACAGTCGTGGATAATTGCTCAGTGATATAAATTGTCGGTCAACGAGATCAATCGATGACACAAAGATTCCTTCATGATTATATTAGGTTGTCCCATAAGTAAACCGTACTTCTAAAGAAATCAAATGTTTTTGTTTTCTAGTAGACTTGAGGTACTAATCGATGGAGCGAAGCAAGCTTTACAAATTGAGAGCAAAAGATCTGCCTATGTCATAGTCTAGGTAAAGTTTAAGGCAAAATCGAAAAAAAATTTATTGACTGAAAATTGGATTTTTGTGAAGAATAATCGTACGGAGCTCAGACTTGGCCGTTACACAGTAGACGCATGGTAGTCCGTGGTAATTGTGTTCTTCTGATAAGTCATCCATGTTAATAATTTCTCAGTGTGAAGTCTTGAGAGTTTGAAACAATTTTGATCACGCATATGCTACTATCAAAAGACCAATTAATTTTTTATAACTTTATTATACATTTGTATTTGTCATCTTACACCCACTCAAATAGCTCTATTTCTCGATAAAATCACTCAACCTTACACTTGAATTGCCTTCTTTCACTATGAACTTCAACAGTAACCTAGACTTGCTTTCCCTCTGAAGTCTTACAACCTTTATCTCACACTTAGTTCGTCTTCTTTCACGAGTTTATACAATTTGCACTAAGGTTATGTACAAACCTTACCGGGTATATTCTCATGCCTGTAGTGTTCTCCTATAAAATTTCGATCTATAACCCACTTATGCGGACTAGCCACTTTAGGTTTCTCGACAAATTTGCTGACGTATTGATAGAAGGCGGACATGAAGTAGTGAGTTTGTTGAACTTTCATGTGGAATCTTTAATTAGACATGCTCATTCTTGGGACAGTTCTTATGCCTGAAATGGACAAAAAGCTTGTAAATACGATTGATATGGGGAGCAAAAAAGCGGACCTTACGCAGTTAGGAGATCCTAGAACGCAGGAGGCGGCAAAAAGCTGCAAGATCTTATGTGGGCTTATTTTCTATGTAATCAGTGAAGAAAGCTTGAGTAAGAAGTGAACGACCTTAGAAAATCGACCTATTTGTTGGAATGTAGTGTGTGAATCAGAATTTAAAAAAATCCAGATGATGGCAATGAGCAAACAAGGATCCTTTCGCGACCTGTGGGCAGCATCTCTGTCTGCTATGGCGATGTTCCAGATCAATTGTTTTGGTTCCTTGTAAAGAATGTGTCCACTATATCATGTAGGGGCGAAAGTTCCTGCTCAAATACAATTCTATAGCTTTACAGACAGTAAATCTACTTTACCATATCGTTTTTCAAATATGGAACCACTCTATGAGGAATGTCCAGGCGTAACTTTTATGAACTAGCCAGCGTAAACGTTTATTCAAACGGGATTCAGATTTTGCGATTGGATCGGGTGAAGATTTGCAAAGGGCCCCTATCCACCTCCAGAAAATCTGTAGAATCTCTTACATTTTAAACTCTCTACATTGGCAGGCGGGCCCCAAGAGATTCGCGAAAGATGTCATCTTACAAAAAAATCTTCATTTCTTCGTAAACGTAGTTCGAGACCAGAAATATCATTTAATCTCACCTAAAACACTGTGTCATTTTTTGAGGCTCAAAATTTTCCTGAATCATAGCCTTAATAAGTTTTCCTGTCAACATTTACAATTTTCTGAAGTCTGCTGCAGTAACATGTACAGTGTGTCCCAAAAAATGCGCCCACTGATTGTTTGCTAATAATTCTCTTGTTTTAAAATCTTCTAAAAACCTTTGGGTACCATTTTGCAAAGCTTTCTTCGAGTTATTCACAGTGAAGAGCGAATCACGGTTCTCTCAATCGTGCTGGAGGATTACCCCAAACTTCGAAGAAGGTTTTGAGTCGCTGAAGGCCATATTTAACCTATGGAAAGAAAGCGAATGAGCTGAAAGCTCTCACACCGGCTAATCAGAGTCGCTAATTTCAAAAATGAAACCAGCACTTTGGCCTATTGCTTCTTTAGTTATGCCAAAATATACAGTATTGGCTAATCTCCTATGCTCCTCTGAAATTTGATTGTCTTATTCGAAAAGCCCGTAAAGCTCGTAAAACCTAGTGTATTGAAATCAGTATGTGTGAAAATAATGTTACACACTTCTTCATTTTCTTGTGATTTTTTCTCAAATGGCCAATTTCACAGTTGCGATATGCTGAAAATTCCTACCGTAGTCATTTGATAGGAATGAGGCATTGGTAATTCGCTCTATACTGTAAACCTTAGCTGCAGCCAGTTTTATGAAATGGTACCTAAAGCTTATAGAAACATTCCAAGATAAGGGAGTTATTAACAATTAAACAGTAGACACGTTTTTGGGGCACCCTTAGATCATTTTGTGGGAAATTTCACAGATTTTTTTGGCGCAAGTTCTTCCAACGCAATTTTCTGGCATATAAACTCCTAAAATCCAATCACGTTAAGCTAAGTTTTTGGTGGCTACTTCAGGGGAAGCTGGGCTTACCTCTATTTTTAAAGGCAGCGTCCAGGCAAGTCTGGACACATGGGGCTCTCGCGTGGATAGTAATTTTGGGGCCCTAACTAAGCCACTGCCCAACCGGCAGCTCAGTTAGCGTTCTAACGGCTGAGATATTCCCCTCGAATGGACCCCGCGATTGTATTTTGCATGGATTAATGGCGCAAAGCGTGGATCCTGGCGCGAAACTGCCATAAATCCATGCGAATACGATCGCGGGGTCCAGTTTCGAGGGGAATATCTCAGCCGTTATGGCACTACCTGCACTGCCGCGTGGGCAGTGCCTTAATTAGGGCCTCAGAAATACTTTCCAAGTAAAATTCCCATAGGTCCAGATCTTGCCTGGACGCTGCCGTTAAGAGAAAAATCGATAAATTCCTGTTTGCTAAAATGGATTTCGTTTGTATTCCAGAAACATTCGCGCCAACCTAGTATTCCGCGCCAATAGATAAGGATTTTTTCAGGCAACGAAGTTCATTGGTCAAATGTTAGAATGGCAGTGTGAAAGTGGGTTTTTGAAACTATAACTTAGCAGCGGAATAACGTATTGGGAGGATCAAACTGGTTTCATACTTCAGCACTAATAAACGATGATAAACTATTGGAAAAGCTTGCTACGGAGAAATTTGACATTGCAATTTCGGAAGCATGCCTATTCTGTGGATTTGGTAAGATATAGTTGTGTTGAGCTGGTACATGAATCTGATCTGAAACTCAAGTTTATATTCGAGAGGTGAATATTTCCAGGTCTATTCAAGTTTTTGAAAATATCGGCGACCATTGGCGTAATATCAAACACAATACTCGACTCAACGAATCATGCTATTGGCGAGCCACTTTTGCTGACAAGGGAATGGTCAGAAATCGAAGTGGCCATTCCAGACAAGCCAGGTACCGTTAGATGCAGCATGAAGCGCTCACCCTAAATCTGTCTCCATTACCTGCTTATCGCCTTTCTGGACAAGCTATAAGCCGTTAAACACCATTATTTTGCTAAGAAATTATGCGTGGAATCAAAAATATAGCCGTACGGAGCCGCTTTCGCCTCAACGCTGGGTCAAAACATGCAGCTAGCTTACCTAAAATTTTTGAAGCCAAAAGATGAGCTAAAAGCGCAACAATGTGCTCAATTTCGCTGTTTTTATGTATGATTTTTTCGCAAAAACCGCTTGTAGCGTCATCCACAGAAGCGGGAAGCAGATAAGGAAGACAGATTCGAAGTCAGTGTTTTATACTGCATCGAATGATATACAGCTTCTTTGATTTGACCACTTCGGCTTCTGACCATTCCCTGTGAGCTACGTTCGAGGTGAATAAATTTCAAATATATTTCCTTTTGTAGTAATTCATCACTTATGGATTCAAAATCTTCGAAATGTCATTTGTCTGATATTTTTCCTATATCTGCAAAAATACACGTAGGACGTATTGACTTACACAATCAAAATTTTGCACAAAACATTTTGAGAGTCCATCCATTGGATTTGATCAAAATTGAGAACGAGAGAAAAATTATATTCTTCTCTGCACTGCAATCTGAGACTTTTTCTTTTTAGGACTCTTTAGTGCGAGTGGAGAAAGAATGGGTTTTATCGAAAGGCTACAGAACGTAATCGCTTACGAAATCTGCCTCTATATGTCGGGTTACCACGGCTTCAGAGAAACCGAAGTTTTCAGAAAAAAAGTATGGCATATTCAAAGATTACAATGTGGGTCAGTTTTCGTCATTTATAATTGATTTTATGTTGGTCACATAACGTGATTCGGAGATCTTATTCATATAGTTCAAATTATTCCGAAGATATGCCTCGCAACCTTGTGATAAAGCGTTTTGAGCAAACTTCTGTAAATTTAAACCGAAACTGAGTGGGGAATGTGTAAGAATGAATTATCGAGTTGATGCAAAAATTCTTGGATAACTCATTAAAAGATCAATAACTTTTCAAATCCTCAACCCAATTTTTTAGCTTTGTATTCATAAGAAAAACCAGAAGAAGATTTATTGTCAGTTTTTCGCTGGCTAGCCCTGAAGAAAGAAGCTTTCAGAGACACTTCGGTCGAAAAAAACATCGGAGTATCGCTA